TTTTTTTTCAATATTATTATAAATCAATACAACCTTATACAATTATTACATAATAAATAACATGAGATCAATATTTATCGTCAACAGAATGCTTATTACTTAATATGTACTTATAAATTAGACTTCCCTATTCTTATTAAATTATCAACTAGGTAGTATAAATGGCATATAATCTTATAATAATACACATTTAGAGGATACAAATCAAATTATAAATTAAATTATCGTAATGATACCAAGCATCAAGATTGCCCCATTAAATCAATTCTGCGATCGCCATAATAGCACATCGCAGACGGCATCAATTATTACAACATAGGTAAGTATATTAAAAATATAACATATAAATAATAAATCATTCTAAGATGTAAATACGTACCTACAATTAAACACGTGATGCATAATAACAAACAGTGGTTGTATAATAATACGCACATGCCCTAAACATAAAAAAAAGAAACTACTGAGTGATATCCAAAACATTTAAGCATATACAAATACCCATAGGTCTGTTCATTGTAATGTCCATTATATTGCATCGATTACCACATGCTACACACTTGTCGGCTGTCATGACATTGATGACGGTGTCTCTCAAAAAGACCACAACCTTCGAACATATTCACGTTGTTCTTTAAAATTTCACCAATTACATTTAAAATTAGGTACCTTAATATATATTATATTAATTAATAATTGTGTTAATTTTTAAGATTTATAAACCAATAAAATGTTTAAAAATCTCATTTCTTTGAACAAAAACATAAAATAACTTTCGACTATAAAATGTATAACGATCCTGAAACTACCCAAAGCTGTAGAAACTATAATGACCTCGACATAACCTTGAAAATCTTGTGTTTTCCACTCATATAGATTAAAGTAGCATATTATAAGTAATAAGAACAATATAAGATCTACTTTGTATTTTAAAGAAATTCACTATCTTTTGTTTGAATATTCATATCTGTATTCTAATTCGTCCGTTTTGAGTTATTAGTATTGCACCATTTTTTTATTAGCCAAATTGAAAAAAATCGAAAAGATACAATAATTCTTGTGTTTATAAAAAAAAAAATAATTAAGAATATTAAGAATAACTTTCCATTGAAGTCTAAAATGACTTGATCTTAATATCAAATCATTATCTACTAGTCAGAAGAATACAGATCTATACATGATGGTACATCAGTGGTATGCGAATACGTCCGTTTCTCCATACTAAAATACTCTTTATTATTTACTTAATTGTTAGTAATTTATTACACTAAACAATATAGCGTCCTCTTAAAATATTTATGTTTTATAAAATATTTTTGTTGATAAATCACTTAAATAATGCGAACAGTCAACTTTATCATTGACATACCTACTATACGTGAAAAATGATGTTTGCTAATAATAACTAATATATTACGGCATTGATTAAGTTATAATATCTATTACAACAATTTAATGTTTGTGACGTTCGGCCGAAAAAAATATGTCTCCCATTAACGTTCCACGCTTCCACTTACGATTAATTTCAACCTTGGATTGACTGATAGATAAAACTACAATATTATTACTAAATTTCAACACGTATAATAAGTAATATTATTTAATCATATTATTATATTATAAATATTATTATTTATTTACAATAGTTAGATTATGAAAAATTTCTACGAATTTTATGTCCGACACCGGGTCAACTAATTATTCCTTTGCTGCTCATTTCATAACGGTTATCGTGGGT